CAAGCCTTTATCTCACTACGTGGGGTCGGCTATATGAATCCTTTTTCTCCATTGTGTCCTATTAAAAGTCAAATTCTCGTTTAAATCTAATAAAGAAAGGTCATTCCTAATATTTTCTAACCAAGTTTTTTTAGGTCTACCCCTACCTTTCTTAACATAAGTCAAATCTAATACCTTTACTCTCCTAACCGGGTCATCGAAAGGCCGTCGTTTTATGTGGCCAAACCATCTAAGGCGACTCTCTCTAATTTTATCTTCTACTGGAGCTACTCCAACCTTTTCACGTATATGCTCATTTCGTATCCTATCTCTAAGGGTAAAGCCACTCATCCACCTGAGCATCCTCATCTCTGCCACACTTAACTTAGTAATATGTTTCTCTTTTAATGGCCAACATTCGGCACCATAAAGCATTGCAGGCCTCACTACCATCTTATAGAATTTTCCCTTAAGTTTGAGGGGTACATTTCTATCACATAACAAGCCCGATGCATTCCTCCACTTCAACCATCCAACTTGAATTCTGCTGATAATATCCCCATCTATTTCACCATCACTCTGAACAATAGATCCAAGATATCTAAAACGTGTACTCTTATTTTTGACTTGATTGCCCAAAGTCACAATCCCCTCACTAGGTCTATTACTACTAAAATTACACTCTATATATTCTGTTTTAGATCTACTCAAGCGAAAACCTTTAGACTCTAAGGTTGACCTCCATAATTCAAGTTTACCTTCAACTCCCTCTCTAGTTTTATCAACAAGAAGAATATCATCAGCAAAAAGCATACACCATTAAATCTTTCATAGTCTTCTTTCTTCAGGAGGAAAGCTATCTATCACATATAATTTTGTTGATTATAAATAGGGCATAAGGTTAATTATAGTGCACGTAAGATGCCAGTGAACATTCCATTCCTCCATGCATATGTCTTAAAACTGGGCACACGCAGACTCAAATTTGAGACTTCTACTAGGGAACCTGGCAACATTTCGCCTGAGCAAAAGATTGTTGGATTTTGTTGTCTCTTTATTCCTTTTCTTATATTTAGCTTCCAAAAAAACAGAGGCTATTATAAAGCGTTTTCTGTTAGGCTTTCCATGTGAGGTAAAAACTCTTTCAGTTATTTTTTCTAGGACTTCGCTTCTTGCTTTTTGTTAGTCCTAGTGTTTAGTAAAATCTATCCCAGGATTTTGATAGGTTCTATGTCAACCTAAGAACATTTCTAGAGGGATGAATTGCTTTATTTTTCTCCGTTTGTTGTCTGGCCAATGGTTTAGCTTCTTCTTTTCATTTTTGAATTACTGAACGTTTTTGTTTGTATTGAGGAACATATATTTTTTTGTGTGATACTAGCATTTATTAAGATGACCATGATTCACTTAATTATTTTCTTACTGTATTAGAGGTTGTAAAGTTACCTAGTTAGGTGCTAATATAATGCTTCTATTTTTAAGGTTTCTTATATTCCAAATACATCATACAATTTTTTTTAATTAAATTTTGATTTGAAATATTTCCAGTTTGATGTACATCCTTGTTCAAAGGCAATTTTGATTCTTCTTAAAGACTGTACTATTATGTTAAATCATCCAATGTGTGTGCATGCAGGCATGTGTCAATTTTGGGAAATATTTTAATTTGTCCTGTTACATGTTCTCTAAATAAACTGATCCACTTAGTTTATGTTATTTTAACTTTAATTCTTGGATTACATGACTTTTCATTTTTTTCAAGGCATAGTTGTTGTGTGGATGCCTTAACATAAATCTTATCACAGGAGAGTCTTCAAGAATTTTGTGTAGATTATGCTTACATGCCTGATGTAGTGAAGCGAATATCACTTGCTCGACGAATTGATAAAATCCAGCAAAAAATATCCCAGGTATGATACATTTTTACTTGGATAAATACAATGTGATTTTATGCGCTTTTATTGTCTTTCATTTATGCCTGTTTACTCTGTACTTTATAGTTGTGGGTCATTTTTTATTGTTGTTCAAACTATATCGGTTTTCCTCGGCACTTATCATTTAAAAAAAAACTTGTGGATGATTTCGGATTTACTCGTAACATATCCTCTTTGGTGGATATACTGCAGTTTGTTAAAAGAGAGATCAATCAACATTAAATTTTAGTTTGAAGTCAATTTGAGCCTCAATTCTGATAATGAGATTTAAGCTGCCCTACATATATTGAGCTAACTTTCCACTGCATTAGCACGTACTATATGTTTACAATGTGGTAAATTTTTGGGAACCAATTATAGTTGACATGACAATTGTAATTGACCTAACAATTCTAATTAACCTGATGTTGGCAGATTTTCCAAACATAACTAGTTTTTTAATTCACTAATTTTTAACTATTTCAGCATAGGAAGATGACTATTTCATAAGCTAATAAAAAAAGTTGAAATGAGCTGAACTAGAATTTTTTTGAAGCTATTTTAGGCGCATATTCATTTTGTCTGGATTCTCCTTAATTTTTATTTGTTTTATTTCATAATACTGAATTAGCTTCTTTGGATTTCATTATGTTTAAATTTGAATTTTTGATAGATTTTGATCCAATTTCAAACATATTATTTGATTTGAATTCAAACTGTTTTTTTTTCTTAATTTTTGTAATCCTATTTTCTATAAATGGTGATTGATGACTTGTGCTATTTGTTGACTAGTGAGAATCAATTGAATGCAACTTATTTTTAAAACCACCTGAGTATTTTCCTCGATCCATGTTAGGCACGGTAAGTTTTGTTTTTCTATTGGCCTTTGTCAATTTGGTATCATAGTGTGATTCAATTTTTCTTGGATCAATTGTTCAATTTGATTGCTTAATTTTGTCCCACAATCGTGAACTCCCATGAAATCATTTATAAAATCCTAAGTTATTTTCCCTTGTGTGAAAGCCATGTACCTGCATTAACAGCCGTTATAGGTACTCCTATCACTTATAGACTCTCTACCTACATTTTTTGTTCACAATCTCTGTAGGTACTCCTATCGCTTATTGGCTTGCTACCTACAAGCATTTATTCAATTGCATCTCTGCTTTTAGTTTACATATCCTGGCGATCATGGATGAGGTTTGATGTGTATAGGGAGGATAAGTAGGATCTATCTATGATATTTATTGATTTTAAGAAAAGTTATGATAAAGTTCCAAAAGAAGTGCTATGGAGAGTTTTAGAAAAGAAAAGGGTTAATAATGTTTATACTGAAGTCATTTAGGATATGTATGTAGGATCTATTACTTGCGTTTAAACACAAGGAGGTTGGACCAAGTATTTTTCTATTTCAGTTGGATTACATCAAGGATCAGCTTTAAGCCCACATCTTTTTTTCTTCAGTCATGAATGTTATTACTAGACATTTGTTATCTAATCCTTTTGTGAGAGCTTCTATATGCGACTCACTTTGGTTTTTTTATGGTTATTTAAAAAAAAAATTATTTGAAAATATGACTTATTTTAGCTAGTCATGTAATTTTTGATCGAAAATGTACGATGTCCTATGATTGATTTTTTTATTATTTAGATTTTTAATTGATAAAAAATTTAATTGTCTTAAGAGCTTAGTATAACATATGCCCAGGCCACGCCCAAGCAAAACAAGTGAACAAACTTAGGAAACAACATGCTTTTCTATTGAACACTCAAAATAAACAAACAATTATGTGCATATATAAAATCAACCAACACGAGAGTAAAGTATAAATGCCCAATTAGTACAATTATGAATGTCAACTGAGCTGCCTGCGTTATACAACCCAGCTACATTTTTTGCAGACTCGACTTATGGGTCTTCAAATTGTGGCTTTTCATGCATCTAGGGCTTCTTTTTGGGAAATCCTTCCTTTTGGTTCATCACTCCTGTAGCTATATCCCATTGGCCTACGATGCTTCCTAAGTCTACTAATTACATTTTAAAACAAGACTAAAATCTATAAAAAGGGGGATTATAAAGTATGTAATATTTAAGCAAAAGAAATCTCCACAAAATTTGAGTAACACTTAAAGTGCCAAACCGTTATTGTACCTTATTGGTCATGTCTCTTTGAGGGATTTTAAGTAACACTTACAAGTAAAAAAATATTAGATAATCATGACTTTTACTCCCTTTTGGACACAACCACTTGCATAAAACATTATTATATATCTCTATTCCAACACTTAAGGGAAAATGTACATAACGCAGACCATCTAAAAATCATCTCATCAAACACATCAACCACATACACAAAAAAAAAAAAATCATAATCTTAGGATGCTTAGGGATTGCTCATCTAAGTGTGTACTGGCTTGTGTGATTTGTTACATTATGAAAGAGTGTTTTATTTCAGTTGTGGAATAGAAACATATTTAATTTTTAGTCAATGGGGTGGTTCCACTTTAAGTTGTTTATGGTTGGAAGCTTTTATTTTTTCTTTTAATATGTTGACAGTAAAGACAACATAATAATCATAAGCTTCTGTGGGTTTGAGGTGTCTCTTCTGTGAATAATTATGAAAATGTTGTTCATTATTTGGAAGTAATTTTTTTTCCATGAATTTTAAAGTCAGGTGTGCTCTTCTTGTCAATTCTTAGCGTTTTATGATTTTTTTTATTTGGTCAGGAGAGTGCAGAAAAAAGTTGGTTTCAACGAAATGCTGCTAATGTTGAATTAGCAGTGGATGATACAGACAGCGAGGAAGAAAGGGAAATGGTCTATAAGCAAAAGAAAACCAGTTTCTTCCATTTGAAGCAGTTACAACAAGTATCTCTCATTGATCTGACTAGGATATTATATATACTTTCATGTGACAGCAAAAATAGAGAGAGCAGTTGTTTGTTGCTCTCAGCATAGTCATTTAAGTTATTTTGATTGGCCTGTAATGTGAATTTTACGCTATTTGAATTGTAGGGATTGATTGCCCTGTTGTCAAGACCAATGCAACCCAAAGCATTTTCACACCGATTTTTGGCTGCGGTACGTCTTCTTTCTTCATTGCTGGCTTGTAATTTTATGCACGCTAATATTGACTGAAAATTTTGCCCTTTGAGGTTTTTTGTTGGTTATGCTATTACTTGTTTGCCTAGGCTCTGTGCTTTGTTTACGCTACTATGTAAGACTCAATCTGTGTGTTTAATTTTGTTTACTTTTATAAAGTGTTTTTTTTTGGTTGTTGCTGTTTAATGTGAGTGTAGTAGATTCCGTTTTTGCCCTCTCTTAGAGAAAGAAATGATATATTATGGATGTAAAACTGTTGAATTTGGCAGGTCTAACGGCAAAATAGTGGTCAGAACATTATGAAAGCCTAATATGCTTGCTTTATATTTCCAATTCTGTTTTATTGAAAAAAAACCCGTCATGTGTATTGTTGGAAAATATCAGTCTAACTATGATGTGATACAAACAGGAATTGAGAGGAATTGATAAAATTATTGTAAAGATTGCTACTTTAAAATTAATGAAACATAAGGATTAACTTCAAGAATTCTCAATTGAAGTTTGCTTTTGGCATGCAGTCACAAGTTAGGAGAATAAAATAACTAAAATAATATAAAAAAAAGTATCGTAAAATTAGTTATGCTGTAATAAGAATCCACAGATTAATATTTAGACCATTCACCTAGAGTTTCCTCTCACTCACACTCTATGAAAGGCTTTAGCGGAGATAAAGTTTCAGCAATCCAAATGACACAACCAAGAGAGATAGGACACCGATGGTCTTGATCCACGGGAAGGTAGTCGGAGAAGGAGACACGGGTGGATGTCTAACAAGTTTCCATTGTCCGGAGGGTCGTTGTTCGTCGATAGTTTCGGCTAGGTGGAATAGTATGCGATCGACATAATCGTTGATGGAATCTTCTAGCTCCCAAGTGGGGTCGAAGAATGATGACTACAGAATGTTGATTTGCACTTGAGAATCGTATGCGAAACCGTGGTCGACTTCAGAATCGACCATCCATGAATACATGAGACTCCTCTCTTGGGATCCTTTGAGGGCCGGCTGTTTGTGAAGGAGGAAGGGAGGGAGGGGCCGACGGGTGGGGAGGATTTGAGTAGGGGAGGGGCGGCTAGGGTTAGGAGGGTTCTTGGATTTTGGGATAGGGAGGTGGAAGGAAATAATTTAGAAAATTTGAATTTAATTTCAAATTTTTCAAAGGGAGGAAAGGTAATAATTTGAACTCAAAATTATCCCAAATAGGACTATAGGGGCCGACGGCGTAGGAGGGATTTATGGGGGAGTTTAAGTTGGGGTTATGAATTAAATTGGAGAGAGAAAAAGTAAGGGTAGGGGGCTGGACATATGACAAGGGATAGAGGGTGTCTAGGTTCAATGTATGTGGGCCCTTTAATTTAATTGGTGATTGAAATCAAATCTTTGATTTGAAATAGTTATCAGCTTTCTTAAAATAGATTTATCAAGAAGGAAAGAGCTTGAAATTCAAATAAATATTTGAATTCAAATAGGAAACTTTCCTATTCAATAATACGATATTTTGGGAAGGTGATTAAGAGGGAATTTGAAATTGAAGGCAAGTCTTGTGGGGCTAGTTGGCCGGCAACCAAAATCTCTTGTTGATGTTCTCATGAAGCTATTGCCAAATGTGAGATATCCTTCTGCAGGAATTGTAGATATGCTCACATATATTTTATGGACTTCAGAAATTATAAATACGAACCATATTAAATTTAGAAGCATGTTATCTATTATTGTTGATCTCACTTTTGTTGAGGTCGACACTGCTTTCCCTTGGGATTTTCCTAGAACCTAGGCCTTCCTACCTTAGTGTAGAAGCCTATAAGATCTTTTAAGCATATGCCAATGAGAAGACCTTCATCGACTAGCTCAGCCCTCAAGCTAGGTGGTCTAGGCGGGTCGACTCAAGTTTGCTCGATCCATCTACATCCTATTTCAATTTAACCTCGACTCATTTTAGTTCACTCGACCCGTTTAAAATTGATGGAATTTGAGTGAAAACATGTAATATATATATATATATATATATATATATGTTTTATTTGAATGCAATCGAACTAAACTAATTTGCATTGAATGGATTTAATTAGTTGAAACAAAAGCAACTTCACATCGAGCTGATTTCATTAAGATGGATTAACATTGACTAAACTAAACTTAATTACAATTCAGAGGGAATGAAGGAAACTGTTGTTGAAGCACTTGACTAATAGCAATGGTCTGAAAAATGGACTGACATTAGGTCAAATGATTTGTGCCTCCAGCATCTCCCTCATCAATCTCTCGATTTCAACATTCTGGATTTAGGGATAACGGTACGGACAAATGCTGATAGGCGAGACTATTTCCTTCAAGATGATAGCATGCTTGTGATCCAACAGAGGCAGCCCCAGAACTGGCTGGAAAATCTTTTGCTACTGTTGTAGGAGTGACTAAACCATGTCTGACGCTTATATCTTCTTCCCATTTTCGTCTTCCAAACTCTGCAGCTTCACCAAAAATCTCATTCCTTCACCATTTCTCCTCTTTGGAAGTGGCTCCAAAATCACCTCCATATCATCTGCCAATATAGCCGGTGATGTTGAGCTAACAATAACCAAATTATCCATAGGTGAGGTCATTGAATTCTTTTCACTTGAGATTAAGAAATTATAGAGGCTTTGGAATCTTGCCAGTTATAAGCAGGATTTATTAAACAAAACTTGCATCAGATTCAACTACTCTAGCAAATTTGTTTATGCTTTGTTGTCATTACTGCTTGACAGGAATTGAATGTCGTTGATGTTGATAATGCCCTTTGACGTGAAAATCCAACAACTTCTTTATCATTCTTTCTAGTTTGAAAAACTTTTCTTCCATTGACGACATTATGTCCTCAAACACCCATTTGAATTTGCTAACTTTTCCTTTAAGACGCTCTTCCAAGACATGAACTTTCCTTGCCGCCATAGGTCCCAAAAAATGAAGTGGATACAATTTCCTCGAAATCAACAAGATATATGACAGGAAGTGAATACAATTTCCTCGAAATCAACAAGATATATGATAGGAAGTGGATATAATTTCCTTGAAATCAGCAAATGACAATAAAAATTAGGCAGAAGAACACACTAAAATTATTTTTATTGCAAGATATATGAAAGAAAATAGTAATATATAGTTGGATCTTCAATTGGAGAGGAAGATCCGGCTCTCCCAAATCCCGGCTAGAGCCCTCACAACCTAAGAAATTCTAATTCTAACAAACTCAAACATAATCCTGAAATCACCCTATTGTCATCTTTAAATAGACTCTCATAATTCCCTCCAAATCAACCCCTTTTCCCTAAATAATTCTCTCTTAGACTTAAATTCAAATTATATTTATGTTCCTAATTAATTCCTCCCAATTGTAATTAAAACTTTCCTAACAATTCCCCCTTGATTCCTCCTCCCATTCCCTAAATAATTTCCTATTAGATTTTGAATTCAAATTAGATCTTTTGCCCTAAATAATTGCCCTCCCAATTATAATTAAAAATTTTCCTAAACAATTCTCCTTTGATTAAGAAGAACCTTCCTAAACAACTCTTTTGATTAAGAAACTACTTAATATAGCTTTGATCCTAACTTTGAAAGTTATATTATCAAAATCTAAAAGGTTGAGGAATGGTTAATCCTCAAGACAAAAGGTCCATTGCACAGTTAATTACATGACTACTGATTGCAATCCTATATTTTATTTCAATGTAGTATCTGATATTTGGCCATTAATATGACAATGCAACAATGTTTCATGGAATTTTTTTAATAATTATATCCACTCAACTATCATTTTTTTTTGCCCTCTTCAACTTTGAGATGTCTGATGGATTCCATATGTTCACAGCGACCAAAACAAAGTAGAAGTTGACGGCTCGTTGATTTTTATTCCGTTTTTAAATATTTGAATTTTAATAATTCCTCTTATGGTTAAATGGACATTTTTTCTATAGGAAGGTTTTGAAGGACTAGTTATGGCCTTCAATAATTTCCAATATTTTCTCTGCACTTAGTAGCTGATCTTTTACTTTGAGTTTTTTCCCCTCAAAAAGCTTTTCGTAGGTTTGAGTGAACATTGTCAAATGTCGTTCTTTTGTTATTGTGTTTTAGATGGCAGTATTAACGGCAACATTTTCTTGGAATAAGAGAAAGTCGTTGCTTAGCTTAAATTATTCTCATTTTGATTTAACTTATCAATTAGATTAATTAAATTGGTTTCCATGCACCTGTAGTTGTGCTGTGAAATCGCAGCAATTCTTTAGCAATTGTGATTATATATGGCTTTGCAACAACCATTAACGTTATATAGGAAATTTCTTTTGCCCAATCCAACTTTGTGAAATAAAATAATGGTGATGTTGATTTCTCAGACTGGCGTTTCACCCCTTGTTCAACAACAGCTGGAGGAGTTTTCAAAAGCGAAGCTGATGGGAAAAATGGGTTCTCAAGAGAAGAAAACTCGAGGGCTTTTGGTAATTGGTCAAGATTGTGTTGAACCACTTCAGGCTCTTAGGAGCTCAGGTCGTGAGGTAACAACTACTTGCACTTTCTTTCTGTTAATTGTGCAATTTGGTAATCAGCTTCTGTAATAATTTGTTAGGCTCAGCTTAGGCCTAATGAACTGCTTGTGTTCATATTTTTGCTTGATAAAATTACAACAACAAACAACAATATCAAGCCTTAATCCCACTATGTGGAGTCGGCTACATGAATCCTTTTTTTCCATTGTGCCCTATTGAAAGTTAAATTATCATTTAAATCTGATAAAGAAAGGTAATAATAAAAAAAAACATTTTTTTGACTTCTACGCTACACGCTCTGCTCTGTAAGGTTTTTCCCTGGTTCTCTTATGGCGGCACTGGCTGATGTTGTTGGTGCTGATTCCAAGGAAGTTTCTCATTTTTCTCATGTCCTCTTGCATTGGTTAGTGGTTTTTCATTTTTTTTCTTGATTCGTCCACCTCTGCTCGACAGAATGGCGGTGAATTGGTTGGTCGATCCTGATTTTTTGGGAGCCAACGCTTGCATGTTTATCCTGATTGCTAGTCCCAATGCGTCACCTTGTTCTAATGTTGGTGATGGCGTTGATGTTGTTGTGGATTCCAATGTTAATTTTGTTCCTTTGGAACTTGGTGTCCGTGAAGCTGTTAGCCCTGTGGGTGTTTTGGTTTATGGCATTCTTGTTGTGCGTAGAGATATTAGGTTTGGTTTGGATGCTTGAGGTGTTGTTTTAGACGGTGAAGAATTTGTGGATACGAATGTTGAAGTGCCTCTCATAGATGTTCTCATTTCTCTTGTATCTAATGTTGCTTTGCTAGCTCAATTAGCTTTCAAATCAAAGGAAAATGAGGTGGTTCAAGGTGACTGTTTAGCTGATTGTGATTCTTCAACTAATTGGGATATCGAGGAGGAAATTGATGTGCAAGGGGTGGACTCTCGAAAATTTTATGACTTAAATGTTATTCAAATTGATGAGGAAAGTTATTTCAAAAAAGTTGGTAAACATAAACGACAATCCAAAAAGAAATTAACTTCTTTTTGGATCTTTTTTTTTCCCTTTTTTCTGTTGTTGGGTCCTGTTTAGCTTGGGCTGTTATATTTTTACCTCGTTGCACCTTGTGCTGTTCTTGGATTGTTTTGGGTATTTTGGGCCGGGTTGGTTGTTGGCTCTTGGTGTTGAGGTTCTGTTATTTTCTTGCTTGGTTGTGAGCTACTGTTTGTCTTCTTTGTGTTTGGTGGTTCCCTGCTGGCTCTGTTTGTTGCCTGGTGGGTTAGCTTTTTGTCTTCTTTTGCTGGTTTCACATATATGCTCATTTCGTATCTTGTCTCTAAGAGTAAAGACACTCATCAACTTGAGCATCCTCATCTCTGCAACACTTAACTTAATATTATGCTTCTTTTTTAATGGCCAACATTTTGCACAATAAAACATTACAGGTCTAACCACCACCTCATAGAAATTTCCCTTAAATTTGAGGGGGACTATTCTATCGCACAACAAACCCAATGGATTCCTCCACTTCAACCATCCAACTTGAATTCTACTAATAACATCCCCATCTATTTCACCATCACTCTGAAGAATAGACCCAACATATTTAAAACGTGTATTCTTATTAATGATTTGATCACCCAAAGTCACAATCTACTCAAACTAAAGCCTTTTGACTCTAAGGTTAACCTCCATAATTCAAGTTTTCCTTTAACACTTATCAATAAGAAGAATATTATCAACAAAAAGCATATATCAGCGTACAACCTTTTGCAAATGACTAGTGAGAACCTCAATAACTAAAGCAACAAGATATGAGCTTAAGGCTAATCCTTGATATAATCCAACTGAAATAGGAAAATACTTGGTCAAACCACCATGTGTATGAACACAAGTAACAACTCTTGCATACATATCATTAATGGCTTGAATATAAGCATTACTAGTCCCTTTCTTATGTAAATCTCTCCATAGCACTTCTCTTGAAACTTTATCATATGCTTTCTCTAAATCAATAAATATCATATATAAATCATCCTTATTCTCTCTATACTTCTCCATCAAACCTCTCAATAAATGTATAACTTCCATTGTAGGCCTACCTGGTATGAATCCTAATTGATTTTGAGAAACATTAGTATCACACCGCAACCTCTGCTCCATAACTCTCTCCCTTAGTTTTAAAGTATGAGGCATTAATTTAATTCCTCTATAATTCGCATAATCTTGTGTATTATCTTTATTCTTAACAATAGAAATGAACACACTCATTCTTCACTCATATGACATCTTTTTAGTCTTTAAAACAATATTAAAAATTTAGTATGCCGAGAAATTCCATCATCTCCTAAGCATTTCTGCATCTCTATTAGAATATCATCAGGTCAACATCTTTTCCACATGTCATTTTTCTTTAAAGCCTTTCTAACTTAAGTTTTACTAATATGCTGATAAAATAAAAGTTTTTTATTTTCAATTAGGATGCTAAGGCCACTAAAATTAATCACATTCTCATAATCTTCATTAAAGAATTTATAAAAACATCTCATCAATCTTTGTTGAATATCTTCTTCTAATTAAAGCACTTTTTGATCTTCATTCTTAATAAACTTCACTTGAATTAAATCCATACTACTATTATTTCTATGTTTGGCTGACATACATAGCTTTCGCCCTCCTTAGTATCTAATCTATTATATAAATTATTGAAAGCTAAAATTTTTTCATTGCATATTACTTTTTTAAACTCCTTACTGACCTCTTTATATCTTTCCCATTAATCAGAATTTTACATTTAAACCAATTTTTATAACAAATCTTTTTATTTTTCATTGCACATTTTAATTTCACATTAACTATTTTTACTATTAGGAACTTTTCCTTTTCATACTTAAGCACATCTTTTGTAATATTTTTGATATCACAACTATTTTTTTCCATATAATATTAGTTTCATCATACACAAACAAATCTTTTTTCTTTTTTTTACACAAACAAAATCTTAATATCTAGTATCTTATTTTCAAAAATATTTTTGCTAATATTTTTAAATTCCTTAATCTAATCCTAGAACAACGTTTTATTTTATTTTTTCAAATTTTTATATTCACTTATGATAGCTTTTGATCTATTTGGCAGCAAGTTTGTATGTCTACACGGTGCGCTCAGTCATCTCTCTAATATTATTTTCATAGAATTTTGACTTATTAATTCAATGGGAAAGAACCATTAGACTGATTCAATGTTTGAAATCAACGACGGAAGACGTATAGTCCAATTTCGTTTCTTTTGTCTAGTCAAAACTTTGTTCTCTTCTTGCCAGGTCTGTGTTAATGTAGATAAAAAGAGAGAAACGAGAAGACTGGTTGAAAATTGGAAAAGCAAGCGAAGAGAAGAAAAAAAGCGTGAGTTTACCAGCCTAAGTAGGTCACATTAGAAATCTATTTAGCCTTGTCATAATCATAATAAAATTTTCTCCCCAGGAGAACGTGAACAGAGGAGAAAGGCAAGGAAGAAGGCCCGGCAAGGTATGAAATAGAGATTGGTTTCCTTGCTTCAACAAATGCTTATTGAAGATGCTTGATTGTCCAACTCAGCCTCACGAAGTATTATAGAGTGATTGGTTGGATAATGGAGATTTCCTTCAGGATATTTCTGGGAAAACAACCATGAACCAGGTATGAAGTACAAATTTGATGTCTGAGGACCTTGGCAACAGTGCATGAGGGAAACTAGTCTAGATGTGACTGAATAGTATTTTGTAGCAATTCCAGTTTTGAGGGAAACTAATCTATATGAAGATATAGACTATGATTATGCTGAGAAATATTTATAACTTAATAATGCTGAATAATATTTTCTTTACCCTTTTCTCCTTATTTTATGTAGATTATTGCAATGCGGGAATTATATAAGTTGTGGTGTGATAAGGCTTCGTTTGGAAAGGTTTTTTTATTTGTTTATTAATGTAGTTTCTTTTAATTTTTGTACTTAAAGGCTATTTTAAGAAGCAATAAAAAAGCTGTTCCAAACGAAGTTTAAGGCTTCATTTGGGATGAATGTTTTATTGTTTTTTGAAATAAATTTTAAATATAATTTTTTTTTCATTAAAATGTTAATTTTATATTGTTATTATGCTTAATATAGATTATTTGTTTGCATCATTTAAAAAAAAAAAATCTCCATTAGCTGAATCTGTTCATCTATGAATGCTTGCTCCAGGTATTAATATATTTACCCTCTGTTGCACTCTCCTTCATTGGCTATTCTTATATGGTGGAATAGTTGTTGTTCTATTCGATTATAACTCGGTTAAAAATTTGAATATTTTTTATGAATTATCAATTGATAAATTAGTAAGTTGCAATGATTTTATGCTTGATTCATTTATGCGCATTTCTAACATCATTTAAAACTCATGGAAACTCTTGAACAAGATTCTTAAGAAGCTCATTTATGAATCAATTATAAGTTTATTCAATGTGTACTTATGTGTGAACTTAGTTTTTCTCTATTAGATTATTTTTATTAATCAGAACATTTGCCTATTTAGTTGCTTGTTTAACTAAATTTTTATGTTTAAACTTGATAGTTTGCTTAATTGTTAGTAAAAATATTCTCTGGTTAAGTAACAGAAAGCTTGATAAGTTTGCTTTTTAATAGGCTAGGCAAGACGCATTTGATAAGCCAATAAGTTTTGCCAATTCAATCAAAACAAGTTCTTGATAATACCTCTTTAATCAAGCAAACTCGAGCAGAGCTCAAATCAAGCTCATACGACATTAATTTATATAAATGAAACCCAAAAATTATCAAAAATACTCAAAGCTCAATCAAGCATTTGGCAAGCATTTATCTTCATAGCATGTATTGATTTTTTATAATACATACATACATTAAAATGATTAATTGAATTTGAATATAAAAATCAACTTAATAAAGATTAAAGTTGGGCCCCTTTTAAAAATTTGTGGCTTTGCCACTATTCATGTTTAAGTATATTAATGTTTTTATTAGGGGTGTCAATTTCAGGTCTCTGTGGTGGACTTAATCTCGGCTTAAGTAACAAAAAGCTTGATAAGTTTGCTTTTTAACAGGCTCGACAAGAGGGAAAATTATTACGTCCAGACAAAAAATTGAAAATCCAGACATATACCGAGCAATACTGAGTGCTCGGTACCGAGCTCCAGGTGATGTGGAGCGTGGTTATTGGTTTCTGGGCGCGTTCGGTGTCCGGACATAATAATTACCCTGACAAGACGCATTTGGTAAATAATAAGTTTTGCCAATTAAACAAAACAAGTTCTTGATAATAATTCTTTAATCAAGCAAATTTGAGTAGAGCTCAAATCAAGCTCATACAACAATAATTTATATAAATAAATGAAATGGTTAAAAAAATTTTGGAATAAAATTTAAAGCATGTCTTCATAGAATATATTGATTTTTCATCATATAAATAAACAGTAGAGTGATTAATTGTATCTAATATAAAAATCAATAAAAAAAATTTATTTTGCCACTATGTGTTTGAGTATTGATGTTGTTATTCCATTGTTTGATTTATATCATTCTTTATTGAACTATCATATGTAGATCAAAATTTTCTTCAAGCCTATAATATGGTTCATATTATGAAGATCACATGATTTTACTCTTACGTCTTACCCCTTTTTATTTTAAGCATCACAAATTTTGACAATACTCAATTGCTTGTCATTGGTGAATTATATTTTTTGTATCATTTCCTTTAAAATCCATTGGAAGCATTTATTGATTCCCCATTACTTTATAGAAGCATTTACTGATTCTTTTTGTTGGTTTCAATTCTATTTTCTTTTCTCTTATGCTCAATTTCTTTTCATCTTTTTAGCCTTTCCACATTGCTGTTGTAAGCAAGGACTTTTGAAATTCTCTTTAACTATTCCTATTTTCTTGAACTTCTTCTTATGTCTTTAATATCTAATGCTGGTGTAGAAAGCCATCACTTAATTCTGTTATTCTAATGTCTTCACTTATTATTAAATATGTGGCATCATTTACTTTCAATTTCATTGATAAATAGAGAATGTTTGTCACCCATTACTCAAAATTTGATGATAATTTAGGCTTTGTTTGGGACGATTTTTTTCCTGCTTCTTAAACCAGCTTTTAAGTACAAAATTTAAAATTTTTGTACTAAAAAATCACTTTAAGAAGCAGGAAGACAGCCGTCCCAAACGAAGCCGTAGGCTTTGATTTACTTTGAGACAACTTTCTTACTGCTTTTAAATCAGCTTTTTAGTATTAAAAAGTTGTTTTAGAAAGCAATAAAAAAGCTGTCCTAAATGAAGTCTATATCATAATTTTGCTTCACATTCTCCCATCTCTCCAAATTTGATGATAGTAAAATTTATGTTATGAGCTTTATCATCCAAATTGCATGTTTATGAGGATGGAGAATTGTCCCTTATTAAAAAGAGAGAGAGAGAGAGAGAGAAACACAATAATAAAGAATGGCTCCTCAATATTAGAAATAAAATAAAAGCTTAGTTTCTATGTACTAATAATATGTACTAATAATGGATCATTATTTACTTCAATATCTTGCCATTCTTTTCTTTCTTTTTTTCTTCCTATAAATAAATATAATTTTCTTTTAATATAAGAAATGTCAAAAGTAGAAGGAAATTTGATGGAGGACCAAAGTACTAAATGACTTAGTGCACATTATCTACTAAAATTAAATCAGAGGTCTCTTTCATAATATTTAGAAGTTTAAGTAATTTGATGTTTAGATCTTCCAAATTATAATTTTATAGATTTACCCTTAAAAATAATAATTATGCCATCTTCATAACAACTACTTGTAAAAATTTTCATCATTTTTATAATAGATCATTTTGAATTATTTATATATTGATTATTGACCTTACCATCATAATTGAGTCGATCTTGGCCATTCAAATTTCATCAAGATGTCAAAATTATAGTTATAAAATCTACTTTTTGGATAAAATAATTAAAAAAAATGATATATTCATGCTTATCATTTTTATATAGAATTTATGTGGCATGACCAATAAAGCTAGTGGGTCCCATGTGAACAGAGGGCTACTATTGTGGTATAGTCACACTGGTACAAGACCTGAAAAAATTATTATGTGTGGACATCAGATACGAACCAGAATGTGCCACATCACTTTTTTGTTCGATATCGGCACCCGGTACCACTGTGTACCGGGTGATGTGATGCATTATGGTTGGTCTCCAGGTCGTCCAGAGTCCGCACAAAATAATTTCTCCAAGGCGCTAAGGGGTACAATTATTCTTTATCAAACCTAATGATTATATTATGATTTTTCTAGACTTAATTAAATTTTTTTTATCAGTTTACTTGTTTCTTAGATTATTTCATTCATTTTGTCCTAGTGGAAGGAGTGCTTGCATGAGCACATAACAACATGGGTTCAACTGTTTAAGAGGTGAATAGTTCCAATTAGTTTTTCTTTTTTAGTTTTATTGTTTATAGTTCTGGTTGTGAATGATCTGATTTGACTATATCGCGACTCAAATTTTGGTCAGAATCATTTGCATGTTAGGGTTGGCTATAAATTGGCTTGATCAAATGTTAATTCCAGTATGAGATAGTTCATTTAGTTCAATTCAAGCTTGCTCGTTTAGTTTTGATCAACTATTGATGTTTTAAGATATTCGTACTCTAATGTTGGGGTGTCAAAAAAGATTTTTGAATTGGAGTTGGGTTAAATCGGAAATTGTCCGCTCTTAACACGACCGACGTGAACTTGACCCGTTTGTCCAAATAGATTGAAAATTAGAACCGAATCCGACCTGACCCGCTAACCGATTGAGTGCAATGGGTCGAGGGTGAGAGAGTGCGAGCTGACATGACTCGACTTGCTAATTAGTTGCGGGCAAGCGAGTCCGGGAGCGAGTGGGAGAGGGTGAGGGAGAGCGGACGACCGTGAGGGTGAGCATTAGCTAGAAAGGAGAGCGCGAGGGTGAGCAGCGAGCAACGAGCGAGAGCATCGAGCACGTCGGGCAAGATGAGACCTAGCTAGCGTATGGATGGGTCAAGCGGGTTGTGTTCTGGTTTGCAGGTTAACCAAACCCAACCTGATATTTAATCGGGTCGAAAAATTAAACCTGAACATGACACATTTCTTAAACAGGTTGATCTGAACCCAAAAATTTTAGGTCGGATGCATATCAGATTTTTGCCATACATTGATGCATATACCTAATATATACATATGCATGCAGCTACTAATATAATTTTTTTTTAATATAAATGCAAATGAAATGCATGTGGAAATAAATCTAACATTCTTCTCGATTGATTTCTTTGAAGTAATTTAAGTATATCCATTAAAAAAGAAATTAAAGCTTCTTTTAAAAATAGATATGCCTATGATGATTATAAAGGCCTCTGTTGTCTTTGTTTCTATAGTACTCACACAAATACCATCCTTTCCTTCACACTGAAGCCAATATTATCTTTTGACCAAAAAAGATTATTTACTTAATAATCACGCCATTAGTGACTTGTAGAACAAGCTAAATTAATTAATGGACAACCTCCACCAACTAACTGAAATAGATTGATCACCAGCTAACTTTGTAATTGGCATCTCCTCAACATATATAATACATGTATATAATTGAGTTCAAATAGATTGATCACCGGCTAATTAAGGTTTGAATTAAATTTCGTCATTCTCGTCGAAGGAGTTCGTCACGGTCCCATTAATGCTTGCCTCCACACAAACCACTAGTCATACCGTTGAGCTCCTCTTCTCCTTCACACGTCTCGAATCCCATCGATGTCTTTCCCATTGAGTTTTGTCTTTTAGATCTACCGCACAGTTGTTGCAGGCCAGTCTTATCAATGCCTTCCCATTGAGCTGCCCAACTCCTCTTCTCCTTAACACTTTG